TAACTAAACTGACACAAGCTAACTTGCTAGCTTGTTAACAAGCTAGCTAACTAGTAGTTTCCGAATCTGGACACATTCTAGTCAGCTAACGTTAGTCTAGCCAAATACCTTTTCTCTAAACACCTAGTCAAGCTAGCTAACTAACTAATGTTAGCTTTCGGGTGTTATTCCTTGTGTTAGTTGATAAAGTTTTTCTTACCTAGCTAATTACTGTAGACTTAAGTTATTGACGTAACCTACTAGCTAGATCAATTAACATATTTTTTTTGTCATTGTAATATTAAATGGTGGTCACAAACTCTCACTTAACTCATGTTTATAGCTTTAGAATTAGGATCCTATACCTTAAGTATTTGGTGATGGTGGTTATGTAGCTAAGTAACTGTCTTTCTCGTTTCCTTTTCTTCTTATTTCAGAGAAAGCATGTACACCATCTTAAGAAGTATGAAGAACTGACGGCAAACACACTGAAGAGAAAACATGCCCCTGAGACACCATCAAGCAGAGCACATTACTGAAGACAGTGTCTCTCAAATCCATTGACAAAGCTGTGGTGAAGTATGTGGTCCAAGGGCTCCAACCATTCACTGTTGTAGAACAAGAACCGTTCAGAGAGTTTATCCAGGATCTGCAGCCTAACTCAAAGATCTTATCAAGGCCCACACTGCGCTCCAGGATTGATGAAGCCTCCACGGAAATTAAGAAGAAGGTGACTGAGGCAATGAGAGGAGTTGACCACATCGCCACCACCACCGACTGCTGGTCTGCAAGAAGATGGAGCTTCATTGATGTTACAGCCCACTGGATAGACCCTGATAGTCTCAACAGATGCTCTGCAGTCCTGGCCTGTAAACGGTTGAGAGGATCGCACACCTTTGATGTGTTGGCAGGCGCCCTAAATGACATCCATTCTGAGTTTGAAATCCGGGGTAGGATTGTGAGAACAACAACAGACAACGGCTCTAACTTCTTGAAAGCTTTCCAAGTTTTTGGAGAAGATGAAAACAACGAGGCAGTGGAAGCAGTGGGTGGTGAAACAGCTCAGCCTGGACAGGAAGATGATCAAGAGGAGAGTGAAGAAGTGGAGTTTGTTGATGTGGCAACGATCCTGAATGAAGATGATGGTTTTGAGTACCAGCTGCCGAAGCACCAGCGCTGTGCTTGCCACCTACTCAACTTAGTATCTACAGTCGATGCCCTGAAAGCAACATCCATTGAGGCTTACAAAAAAGTGTCCCGTTCAACATTTGGCAAGTGCCAAGCACTTTGAAACAAATGCGGAAGATCCACACTTGCAGCCAAAACGGTTGAAGATGCTTGCGACCTCCAGCTGCTACGCCCGAATGCTACAAGGTGGAACTCCTGGTTCATGGCAGTAGAAAGAATCCTGAGGATCGTCAAAGACAAAGGAGGGGCGGCCGTCAGAGTTCTCTGCACAGACTTCGAGGTTCCAATGTAAGTAAGGATTATGTATTATTTTGTCATAATTGAAGGTCTTGAATGTTGTCTAAATCTGTTGCAGTGTATCCTGCCCCTTTGCTTGGGGACTATTAACTGTTTCACATGTTGTAGCCATACACTATCATTGATCCATTTAGTAAACTACTCATCCAGCCATTGATTACTGTAGTTAAATCAGGTGAAATGGTTAGTGGTTCCCTTTGTATAGGGTTAGGAAACGGTATTAATATATATATATATATATATATATATTTTTTTTGAATAGGTTAAATCCAGCTGAACTCGCCTTCCTCACAGAGTATGCTGCCACCATGAGCCCAGTTGCAAAGGACATCAACATCCTGCAGGCTGAAACCAATGTCCAGATGGGGTGGCTACTTCCAACTGTCAACCTGCTGATCACAAAACTTGACCGAATCAAGTTGTCCCTGAAGTACTGTAAGCCTCTGGTGGATGCGCTACAACTGGGACTGAAGATGCGCTTCAGCCACATTTCATGTAGTCCCGTGTAGCTCAGTTGGTAGAGCATGGCGCTTGCAACGCCAGAGTTGTGGGTTCGATTCCCACGGGGGGCCAGTATGAAAAATGTATGCACTCACTAACTGTAAGTCGCTCTGGATAAGAGCGTCTGCTAAATGACTAAAATGTAAAATGTAATGACCCTGAGCTGATCGCAGCTGCAATCCTTCTCCCCAAATTCAAAACAACGTGGACAAAAGATGATGGCACCATCAGAATGGGTAAGACAACGTGGTTAATTAACAGTATTTTATTATTCATAAACAACTGTATAGTGTACATTTTGACACTTCATAGATTTGAGAACCACCCATTTAAACTACAATCTTGACTTTGTGGTTCAGTCCAATGGGTAGCCTACTTGGTTTATATAGATGAGGGATGGGGATGGATTAATGTAGGCTCACAATGGCATGATTTCTATTGTCATCTTCCTTGTACTTCAGGAATGGACTACATCAAGGACCACCTGGAAGAACCCTTGCTGCAGCTAGGTGATGGCACCAGTTCATCAGATGAGGAGGACTTCTTCTCTGCCATGAAGACGTCTCAAGCACAAGAAAGCGCCAAACAGCTGGACGGATACCTGGCCTGTTCAGCTAATCATATGGAGTTGCTCAAGTCCTTCCCGGCAGTCTGTAAGCTGTCTCTGAGGCTAAACACACCCTTACCTGCATCAGCTGCATGTGAAAGGCTGTTCAGCATCGCATTACTTGTTTTCAGTCCCAGGAGAGCAAGGCTGGATTCCAGAAACATTGAAAACCAGCTTTTATGAATATGCCTTGTTACAAAGGCATGACCTGACACACTGATTTCTAATACAGTTCTATCAGTGGTGATGTCCTCATATTCCTACAGTGTGGTTGTGTGCAGTTCTGTACATGTACTTTTGATAAGCTCATTAAAAAAATGTTGGGGGGGGGTTCTCTTATAGGATGTTTTTTCTAAAGCAAAGTGACTGTGATTGTAAGTGCTTACGTTTACTGGCAATATTCCTTCTGCTTATCTGACTCATCAAATAATCTGTTAATGATTTGATTCTTTGAGGCCCCGTGTAGCTCAGTTGGTAGAGCATGGCGTTTGCGATGCCAGGGTTGTGGGTTCGATTCCCACGGGGGGCCAGTATGAAAAATGTATGCACTCACTAACTGTAAGTCGCTCTGGATAAGAGCGTCTGGTAAATGACAAAAATTTAAATTATTAAGGCATAATTCTATTTTGTCTGTAAGAGATTTATTTTGAAGTGTTGCCCATTTGAGAATCCACTTTATTTTTTTTATCTGAGCTCTTGTATCCGTAAGAATGTTACCTTTCAGAAAAGCTCAAACCAAATAAAAGGTCTGGCTGTTTTGCTTTTTGGATTTACAGCTCTTATGTTTCATACTTTTACTTTTGATACTTAAGTACATTTAGCTTACGGCTATTTAATATCAGGTACTTTTAAGACTTTTACTCAAGTAGTATTCTAATGGGTGACTTTCACTTTTACTTGAGTCATTTTCCAGTAAGGTATCTTTACTCAAGTATGATTATTGAGTACTTTTTTCACCACTGTACTTAAGTACATTTAAAAACAGATACTTTTAGACTTTTACTCAAGTATTATTTTACTTGGTGACTTTCACTTTTACTTGAGTAATGTTCTATTAAGGTATCTTTACTTTTACTCAAGTATGACAATTGAGTACTTTTTCCACCACTGCTGTCATTTCTCTTTGCTTAGTTGAGCTGTTCTTGCCATAATATGGACTTGATATTTTACAAAATAGGGCTATCTTCTGTATACCACCCCTACCTTGTCACAACACAACTGATTGGCTCAAACGCATTAAGAAGGAAATAAATTCCACAAATTAACTTTTAAGAAGGTACACCTGTTAATTGAAATGCATTCCAGGTGACTACCCCATGAAGCTGGTTGAGAGAATGCCAAGAGTGTGCAAAGCTGTCATCAAGGCAAATGGTGGCTACTTTGAAGAATCTGAAATATAAAATATATTTGGATTTGTTTAACACTTTTTGGGTTGGAATGCAAGGCTTTATCGTTGTTGTTTTTACAGCAATGTTTGGTGATCGACTAGGAATGCCTTGGATTGCGATCGACCAGTTGGTGAACACTGCTCTAGACTGTATTATTCAACTCGGCTTAAGCCTAGTCATTAGCACTGGGAGCTAATATGTCCTCAGCAAGGTTACTCATGTGTGGGAGTAGTTTGGTAGAGTGAGTGGGTGGGTGTTTATACTTGATGGAGAAAGAGTTAGACAGCAGAGAAAGATTAAGGGGGTAGTAGAGGAGGATGAGTTTTAAGATGTTCCCTCCTGCCCTGATCTTGACTTGCTCTGACATATCAGAAGCACTTCTCCACCCGGGTGGGCTTTTAGCTCGCAGCTGAGAGGTCATCTACCCTCCCTTTCCCCGCTCATCTATTTCATCCTCCTCTACTCTCCCACTCTCCCTTCTTTTCCCATTCTCCCCTACCCTCCCCGTCTCCTTCCTTTCCCCCTCCTCCACTTTCCCCTACATTCTCCTTCTCCCCTGTCCCCCTCTCCCTCCGTCTCCCTCTTCCTTTGCTCCCCTCTCCCTCCGTTCCCCTCTCCCTCCGTTCCCTTCTCCCTCCGTCCTCCTCTCCCTCCGTTCCCCTCGCCCTCCCTGCCTCAAGCTCTTAGAGCTATTAACATGAGAGTCTCTTGCTGTGACCTAGAAGAAGGTGATGTGTGTGTGTGTGCGCAGGCGAGCGTGTGTGTGTGTGTAGGAGACAGACATGACAGGGGTGTCAGAGTAGTAATGAGAGCATTGCTGGCAGGGGATTCAGTGATGTGTGTTCAAAACAGAGTGGGGGGTTGGAGAAGCTACATTGCTAGCCTATGACAGTGTTAACATGCTATGGCTAGCTCAACATTAAGGGACAAATCCTGACATGAAAATAGTTTCACATGTTGTGAGTGGGAGATTTTAATTTTGCTTAACAAACATTATCTATTTCCGTCTCTCTCTCCCTCCCTCTCCCTATCTCTGTCAGGCTGAGTCAGGTGTTTGGGGAGTGAGTAGGGAGCGTGTGGGGTCTGAGCTCAGCCCTCCCCAGGAGAAAGGGGGTTATCCTGTCCCCTCTCTTCACGTCCTGGCTCACCCCTCCTACCCCTTCAGCCTCACCCCCAGCTCTGTCATGCAGGACCGGAGACTACAGGGCCTTAGGTGAATCACTCCTGGATGTCTATACTCCCACACACACGTACACAGATACACGCAGAGTCACAAACATATACCACAAACACACACACAAACCCATCTACAGTGCAACAGATAAGTCTTTCTAGCATAAACCACATATGCACTACCTCCGTTCACGCCAAAACAGCAGACTCAAATTTGCAATCTGATCCCCAACTCCTCCCCCTCCTGTAGTCTACCTGGTCAGGTACACCCTGCGGTTCCCTTGGGGGCGGTCCCAGAGGAGTACCTGAGAGGACTCCGCCCCTTCGCTACCTCAGACGACCTCCGCCTGCCCTCGCTGCCCCTGGGGCTCGACCCCGTCACCGCTGCCCACGTTACTGCTGCTGCTGCCTACTACCACCCTGCCTACCTCCACCACCTACACAGGTGAGTCTATAGACCACCCTACCTACCTACCTACACCACATACACAGTTCAGTCTATAGACCACATTTCCTACCTCCACCACCTACACAGGTCAGTCTATAGACCGCCCTGCCTAGCTCCACCACCTACACAGGTCAGTCTATAGACCACCCTTCCTACCTCCACCACATACACAGGTCAGTCTATAGACCACCCTTCCTACCTCCACCACATACACAGGTCAGTCTATAGACCACCCTTCCTACCTCCACCACCTACACAGGTCAGTCTATACAGGTCAGTCTATAGACTACCCTCCACCACATACACAGGTCAGTCTATAGACCACCCTACCTACCTCAGTCTGACTCTGTAGAATCAGTGTTCTACAGATGAGACAGAGACACAGAGAGACAGGCAGACAGACAGGAAGACAAAGAGACAGACAGGGACACAGAGAGACAGAGGTTTGAAGCAGCCTGTGTGTTTGTGTGTCCGGGTTGGGATGTATAGATGGCTACTGAACCCCAAAATGTGCCTAAAGGTTGAAATTCATTGCTCCCTCTCTCTTTGCCTCTTACCCTCCATTCCTTTTCCCCTTGTCTGTGTGTTCCAGGATGGAGGAGTCTCTGTGTCTGTCTGCACTGCGTTCTCAGTTCTACTCTGTACCAGCAGGGGGAGCCTTCTCTCCCCTCCACCCCTCTGCCCTCCACATGCACCTGCCTGGGGCACGCTACCCTGGGGAGCTCAGCCACACACACAGCGCATTGGCTGAGAGGTAACACACACGCTTATGATACACACACACACACCTGCACCTGCCCTTAGGGCTGCTACCTTCGGAAGCTGAACAATCACTCTGGCTGAGAGGTGTTACACTCATACATGTACACACACTTTGTAATCTCTCTGCAGGAAATGCACAGGTTGCTGACTGTGTTATATTTTTAGACCACTCCTCACGGTGCTACCATATACACATCACGCACACACACCAATACACACATAGGTGTCTGTGTGTGCTTATATCCTGTGGTTACCTATTAATTGTTCATCTGCTCTTGCTCACTCATGCTGTCTTACATGCTCTGTGTGTGTGTGTGTGTGCATAGGTGTGTGTGTTTAACAGTGTGTGGTTAATCTGCCCAATGTTGGGTGTTGCATCTCTCACCATCTCTCCCATGTGTCTGTGGTATGTGTGTGTATCTTTTAACCTCCCCCACAGACTACAGATGGAGGAAGAGCTTCGCCAACGAGAGAAACAGAGGGAGCTTGAGCTGGAACGGGAGAGAGAGAGGGAGCGGGACAGAGCGAGGCAGAGGGAGATGGTGAGAGCGGTGGAGACTGAGTACCTTGCTGGACTGAAGGCTCTCAAGACTCCGCCGCAGGACAGGGTCAGACCTGGGGAGAGGCTGACACCCAACAGACTGGGTACGGTGTACACACATACACACACACACATATACACGCACACACACATATACAGTATAGACGCAATACACACACTGATTGGTTGATTTCCCGTTAATTAAGCACCAGAGATTTATCTTGAAAGTAGAGCCTGACCACCATCCATATCATTTACATTTACATCATTTAGCAGACGCTCTTATCCAGAGCGACTTACAAATTGGTGCATTCAACTTATGATAGCCAGTGGGACAACCACTTTTTATTTTTAATGGGGGGGAGGGGGGAGGGGGTAGAAGGATTACTTTATACTATTCCAGGTATTCCTTAAAGAGGTAGGGTTTCAAGTGTCTCCGGAAGGAGACACTTGAACTACTTCTCAGATAGAGTTCAGTGTGTCAAATCGGAGGGCCTGTTGTCTGGACCTATGGCAGTCTCTATGGGGGTGCCACAGGGTTCAATTCTTGGGCCGACACTTTTCTCCGTGTATATCAATGATGTCGCTCTTGCTGCTGGTGACTCTCAGATCCACCTCTACGCAGACGACACCATTTTGTATACATCTGGCCCTTCATTGGACACTGTGTTAACAAACCTCCAAACGAGCTTCAATGCCATACAACACTCCTTCAGTAGCCTCCAACTGCTCTTAAACACTAGTAAAACTAAATGATGCTTTTCAATCGGTTCGCTCTGGCACACGTCCCCCGTTAGAATCATTTTGCTACGCGGTCTGAGCCCAAAGCATGATGTTTCCACCCCTATGCTTCACAGTAGGTATGGTGTTCTTTGGATGCAGCTCAGCATTCTTTGTCCTCCAAACACGACGAGTTGAGTTTTTACCAAAAAGTTATATTTTGGTTTCATCTGACCTATGACATTCTCCCAATTCCTCTTCTGGGATCATCCAAATGCACTCTAGCAAACTTCAGACGGGCCTGGACATGTACTGGCTAAGCAGGGGGACACGTCTGGCACTGCCGGATTTGAGTCCCTGGCGGCGTCGTGTGTATGATGGTAGGCTTCGTACTTTGGTTCCAGCTCTTGCAGGTCATTCACTAGGTCCCCCGTGTGGTCCTGGGATTTTTGCTCACCGTTCTTGTGATCATTTTGACCCCACAGGGTGAGATCTTGCGTGGAGCCCCAGATTGAGGGAGATTATCATGGTCTTGTATGTCTTCCATTTCTTAATAATTGCTCCCACAGTTGATTTCTTCAAACCAAGCTGCTTACCTATTGCAGATTCAGTCTTCCCAAGCCTGGTGAAGGTCTACAATTTTGTTCTGGTGTCCTTTGACAGCTCTTTGGTCTTGGCCATAGTGGAAGTTTGGAGTGTGACTGTTTGAGGTTGTGGAACAGGTGTCTTTTATACTGATAACAAGTTTCAAACAGGTGCCATTAATACAGGGTAACGAGTGGAGGACAGAGGAGCCTCTTAAAGAAGAAGTTACAGGTCTGTGAGAGCCAGAAATCTTGCTTGTTTGTAGGTGACCAAATACTTATTTTCCACCATAATTTGCAAAAAAATTCATTAAAAAATCCTACAATGTGATTTTCTGGAATTGTTTTTCTCAATTTGTCTGTCATAGTTGACGTGGTACCTATGATGAAAATTACAGGCCTCTCTCATCTTTTTAAGTGGGAGAACTTGCCACAATTGGTGGCTGACTAAATACTTTTTTTCCCCACTGTATATCTCAACTGGTCATTCCCAAAGCCAACACCTCCTTTGGCCGCCATTCCTTCCAGTTCTCTGCTGCCAATGACTGGAACGAATTGCAAAAAATCTCTGAAGCTGGAGACTCTTATCTCCCTCACTAACTTTAAGCATCAGTTGTCAGAGCACCTTACCGATCACTGCACCTGTACACAGCCCATCTAAAATTAGCCCACCCAACTACCTCATCCCTATATTGTTATTTATTTTGCTCTTTTGCACCCCAGTATCTCTATTTGCACATAATCTCTTGCACATCTAGCATTCCAGTGTTAATACTATTGTAATTATTTTGCACTATAGCCTATTTATTGCCTTACCTCCATAACTTGCTACATTTGCACACACTGTATATATATTTTCTGTTGTATTCTTGACTTTATGTTTTTTTACCCCATATGTAACTCTGTGTTGTTTTTATCGCACTGCTTTGCTTTATCTTGGCCAGGTCGCAGTTGTAAATGAGAACTTGTTCTCAACTGGCTTACCTGGTTAAATAAAGGTGAAATAAAATAAAAAAATAAAATAAAAAAAAGGTGGTCAGTGACTCCGCTGTCCTGGCGTCGTGGGGCAGCTTGTTCCACCATTGGGGTGCCAGAGCAGCGAATAGCTTTGACTGGGCTGAGCGGGAACTGTGCTTCCGTAGAGGTAGGGGAGCTAGCAGGCCAGAGGTGGATGAACTTAGTGCCCTCGTTTGGGTGTAGGGTCTGATCAGAGCCTGAAGGTAAGGAGGTGCCGTTCCCCTCACAGCTCCGTAGGCAAGCACCATGGTCTTGTAGTAGATGCGAGCCTCAACTGGAAGCCAGTGGAGTGTGCGGAGGAGCGGGGTGACATGAGAGAACTTGGGAAGGTCGAACACCAGACGGGCTGCAGCGTTCTGGATAAGTTGTAGGGGTTTAATGGCACAGGCAGGGAGCCCAGCCAACAGCGAGTTGCAGTAATCCAGACGGGAGATGACAAGTGCCTGGATTAGGACCTGTGCCGCTTTCTGTGTAAGGTAGGATCGTACTCTGCAAATGTTGTAGAGCATGAACCTGCAGGATCGGGTCACCGCTTTCATGTTAGCGGAGAACGACAGGGTGTTGTCCAGGGTCACGCCAAGGTTCTTTGCACTCTGGGAGGAGGACACAATGGAGTTGTTAACCGTGATGGCGAGATCATGGAGCGGGCAGTCCTTCCCCGGGAGGAAGAGCAGCTCCGTCTTGCCGAGGTTCAGCTTGAGGTGGTGATCCGACATCCACACTGATATGTCTGCCAGACATGCAGAGATGCGATTCGCCACCTGGTTATCAGAAGGGGGAAAGGAGAAAATGAATTGTGTGTCGTCTGCGTAGCAATGATAGGAGAGACCATGTGAGGATATGACAGAGCCAAGTGACTTGTTGTATAGAGAGAATAGGAGAGGGCCTAGAACTGAGCCCTGGGGGACACCAGTGGTGAGAGCACGTGGTGCGGAGACAGATTCTCGCCACGCCACCTGGTAGGAGCGACCTGTCAGGTAGGACGCAATCCAAGAGTGAGCAGCGCTGGAGATGCCCAACTCGGAGAGGGTGGAGAGGAGGATCTGATGGTTCACAGTATCAAAGGCAGCGGATAGGTCTAGAAGGATAAGAGCAGAGGAGAGAGAGTTAGCTTTAGCAGTGCGGAGAGCCTCCGTTACACAGAGAAGAGCAGTTTCAGTTGAATGACCAGTCTTGAAACCTGACTGGTTTCGATCAAGAAGGTCATTCTGAGAGAGATAGCAGGAGAGTTGGCTAGAGATGGCACGCTCAAGAGTTTTGGAGAGAAAAGAAAGAAGGGATACTGGTCTGTAGTTGTTGACATCGGAGGGATCGAGTGTAGGTTTTTTGAGGAGGGGTGCAACTCTCGCTCTCTTGAAGACGGAAGGGACATGGCCAGCGGTCAAGGATGAGTTGATGAGTGAGGTGAGGTAAGGGAGAAGGTCTCTGGAAATGGTCTAGAGAAGAGAGGAGGGGATAGGGTCAAGCGGGCAGGTTGTTGGGCGGCCGGCCGTACAAGTCGCAAGATTTCATCTGGAGAGAGAAGGGAGAAAGAAGTCAAAGCATAGGGTAGGGCAGTGTGAGCAGGACCAGCGGTGTCATTTGACTTAATAAATGAGGATCGGATGTCGTTAACCTTCTTTTCAAAATGGTTGACGAAGTCATCCACAGAGAGGGAGGAGGGAGGGGGAGGAGGAGGATTCAGCAGGGAGAAGAAGGTGGCAAAGAGCTTCCTAGGGTTAGAGGCAGAGGCTTGAAATTTAGAGTGGTAGAAAGTGGCTTTAGCAGCGGAAACAGAGGAAGAGAATGTAGAGAGGAGGGAGTGAAAAGATGCCAGGTCCGCAGGGAGTCTAGTTTTCCTCCATTTCCGCTCGGCTGCCCGGAGCCCTCTTCTGTGAGCTCGCAATGAGTCGTCAAGCCACGGAGCAGGAGGGGAGGACCGGGCCGGCCGGGAGGATAGGGGACATAGAGCGTCAAAAGATGCAGAAAGGGAGGAGAGGAGGGTTGAGGAGGCAGAATCAGGAGGTCGGAGGGAGAAGGATTTAGCAGAGGGAAGAGATGATAGGATGGAAGAGGAGAGAGTAGCGGGAGAGAGAGAGCGAAGGTTGCGACGGCACATTACCATCTGAGTAGGGACAGAGTGAGAAGTGTTGGAAGAGAGCGAGAGAGAAAAGGATACAAAGTAGTGGTCGGAGACTTGGAGGGGAGTTGCAGTGAGATTAGTAGAAGAACAGCATCTAGTAAAGATGAGGTCAAGCGTATTGCCTGCCTTGTGAGTAGGGGGGGACGGTGAGAGGGTGAGGTCAAAAGAGGAAAGGAGTGGAAAGAAGGAGGCAGAGAGAAATTAGTCAAAGGCAGACGTAGGGAGGTTAAGGTCACCCAGAACTGTGAGGGGTGAGCCATCCTCAGGAAAGGAACTTATCAAGGCGTCAAGCTCATTGATGAACTCTCCAAGGGAACCTGGAGGGCGATAAATGACAAGGATGTTAAGCTTGAATGGGCTAGTGACTGTGACAGCATGGAATTCAAATGAGGAGATAGACAGATGGGTCAGGGGAAAAAGAGAGAATGTCCACTTGGGAGAGATGAGGATTCCTGTGCCACCGCCGGGCTGACCAGATGCTCTCGGGGTATGCGAGAACACATGGTTAGACGAGGAAAGAGCAGTAGGAGTAGCAGTGTTTTCTGTGGTAATCCATGTTTCTGTCAGCGCCAAGAAGTCGAGGGACTGGAGGGTAGCATAGGCTGAGATGAACTCTGCCTTGTTGGCCGCAGAACAGCAGTTCCAGAGGCTGCCAGAGACCTGGAACTCCACGTGGGTCGTGCGCGCAGGGACCACCAGATTAGAGTGGCAACAGCCACGTGGTGTGAAGCGTTTGTATGGCCTGTGCAGAGAGGAGAGAACAGGGATAGACAGACACATAGTTGACAGGCGACAGAAAAAGGCTACAATAATGCAGAGGAGATCGGAATGAAATGAACTAAACATCTGGGAAAGCGAGAGAGCGGGGCCTCCCTCACTTACGTTTCACTGAAACACTCAAATATAACTCTCCCAACTTCCACTTTAGAAATTATAATTGTTGTAAACTACAGTGGTTCAATGTTTTCTAGGAATAGACTAACTTAGATAGACTAACTTAGTTTATTCAGCTAGCTAACTTGGTACAGTATTCTTCCGTGAAAACCGTCCAGGGCACCGAATCCTATGACGCCAAAGCCAGCTAGCATGCCAGCCTCCAATAACATGGTTTAGCACCAATACTCGGTTACAACAAACCACCAGTGTGTTAACACGCCAAGCAGATCATTCGTGTCCGTGTCTAACGTTGTGTAAAGTTTTGGGTTAGTTTTGACAGTTTGAGTGAGTACGTCGTCAACTTATTCAGCCAGTTAGTTAGCTAGAATAGTTAGCATACTAGCTAGCCATTGCTCTCTGCCAACGAACCAACCCCTCCTCCCACAGAGAGCCAAGCTAACGTTAACTAGTCACCCATGTCCCGAATTCCCTTGAACGACTCTGGTTACCAGTATGTAAAAACAAAACAAAAATAAATGTAGGTTATAACTTACCCTTAGTAGCTACTGTTAGCCAGTTAAGTGCAAAGCTAGCCACTGAATCGATTCAGCCAGTTAACGTCTGTCCCAACGGAGAGAAAGCGTCTCCAAATATTAAAGCTAGGTCGTTCCAGCTATTGTTTAGTTAGCTATCCAGGTAGCAACAAGCTAGCTACATTTCGAGTACAGTAGCTACTAACTACATAACGTTAACGCTTCAGATAATGAGGTTAGAAAAACAGCTGAATGGTAGGTAGCTAGCTGGCTTAATTACAGGTACTCTTAAGCGTGAAATAACATTGGAAACAACTATCCACAGTTGCTAATAGTTACCAGTAGCTACCCGCTAGCTAGCTAGCTTTATTGGTCCAGGTAGTGAGTTAGCTAGCCTCGTGCTTCACCGGGCTCAGCCAAATACAATACTTACCTACAATAATTACCTACAATAACCTACAATAACTACCTAGATAAACTACCTACAATACCTAACTACAATACCTATCTACCTACAATCTAAATACATGGTTTAAGCTTTACTCGACACCATATACACCATATAAGCCTAGCTTACCTCCCGCCAGAGAGAGACACAACCTCACCCGACGCATAATGTAGTGTTTAATTTAATTATAATAATTTTCCCCAGGTAAGCCCACCCTCCCTGCCCTCCCAGTCCCTAAACCTCTACAGCCAGACCTCCAGTCCTCCAGGGGGTCAGCCTCTCACCCCATTCCCACCCTGGTGCCCTCTCAGACGGTGAACAACGCACACACTGTCTCAGCCTCTACCAGGGGGCTCCATGGAACACTGGCCTCTGCCATGAAGCTCCAACAGGCCAATGGGGAGAAGCGCTGGTTGTCAAAGCAACGCCGGCAAGGGCAGGAGAGGGAGGCGTGGCCACATGGGGAAGGGGTGGAGCCTAGGAGACACAGCTACAGGTGAGTGTCTAATCAGGCAAGGAACAAGCAATTGAGAAATGCATATGTTTATCAGTTTCCCCAGCAGTCTGTTTGTATGTGCGTCAGTACTTAATTTGAGCCAGATCCTGCCGGAACAGGATCCGGCACCTTTCAGTTTTAGAATGTTTAGTTCCAGAACCCATTTGCCAGGATCCGGTACCTCTTATCACCAGTGGTGTGAAGTACTTAATTAAAAAATACTTGAAAGTTATCCTTAAGTGTTTTTTTGGGGTATCAGTACTTTACTTTACTATTTATATTTTTGACAACTTTTACTTCTAGTTCACTACATTCCTAAAGAAAATTAAGTAATTTTTACTCCATACATTTTCCCTGACACCCAAAAGTACTTGTTACATTTTGAATGCTTAGCAGTACAGGAAAATGGTCTAATTCACACACTTATCAAGAGAATATCCCTGGTCATCCCTACTGCCTCTGATCTGGTAAACTCACTAAACACATGCTTTGTTTGTAAATGATGTCTGAGTGTTGGAGCGTGCCCCTGGCTATCCATACATTTAAAAAACAAGAAAATGGTGCCGTCTGGTTTGCTTAATATAAGGAATTTGAAATGATTTATACTTTTACTTTTACTTTTGATACTTAAGTATATTTTAGCAATTCAATTTACTTTTGATACTTAAGTATATTTAAAACCAAATACTTTTAGACTTTTACTCAAGTAGGATTTTACTGGGTGACTTTCACTTTTACTTGAGTCATTTTCTATTAAAGTATCTATACTTTTACTCAAATATGACAATTGGGTACTTGTTCCACCACTGCTTATCACTGTTTGCAATGTAAAAAATATAATAAAAATGATCAGAGTTCATTAAAGTTGCCTCGTCTGTAATTCTCCTGCCCCCTAAAAACGTAATGTGAATAGTGCCTGATATTCTAAGAATTGATTCATGTTGGGCCGGCCGGGGTTTATGGTTTGCGCAACATTGTAGCGTGTGTCAAACTCATTCCACGGAGGGCCGAGTATCTGTGGGTTTTCGCACCACCCTTGTACTTTATTGATGAATTAAGGTCACTAATTAGTAAGCAACTCCTTTTCACCTGGTTGTTTAGGTCTTAATTGAAAGGAAAAAACTAAACCCTGCAGACACTCGGCCCTCCGTGGAATGTGTTTGACACCCCTGTTGCAGCCTATAGACCCCTCAAACTTAACTCTGGAACTCGAAGCCGGTTCCACTGCATTTTGTCATTGTTCCCCTCTAGTCAGGGACTGATTTAGACCTGTGACACCAGGTATGTGCAATTAATTATCAGGTAGAACAGAAAACCAGCAGGTGCCGGACCTCGTAAGGTAAGAGTTAAGTACCCCTGCTATAGACCAACGCGTGGTCATTGCTGTGGTGACAGAGAGAAGTGCGTCTGTATCTCTCACAGAACTAGAATGAGATTCACTTTCTATGATCTCTCTCCTTCTCTCTGCTCTGATAGACATGAGCCTGCAACTCTCATCTCTCCAGCATTGCACTTCGTCATTTATTTCCTTATATAATCATAGGGTGCTGGAGGTGCCACAGCACCCCTGATAAATTGAAATACATTTGCCAAAGTTATATTTACATTTTCGTCATTTAGCAGACGCTCTTATCCAGAGCGACTTACAAATTGGATAATTACTGCTGTCTGTTCAGAAATAAATGAAATCATTCAGAATTCTACACCAGGAGTAGGCCTATGCCTATAATTTAGCCACAGAGGATAAATAGCGTGGCAAATCTGTCAGTGAACAGCATCTAGCGAAAACAGGCCTTTCGCAATATTTCAAATACAATCGCTGGAAAATACAGGTTGGAAAGCATATGGCTCCTGCTGAAAAGAGAAGACTAATCTGTCTGTAGGCTACCAAAATATGTTATCAACTTCCAAATAGGCCTATTGAGTGAACAGCATTGTTTTACAAAGTAAAATACAAGAGAGAGATAAGCTTTTGGCACGAGCGCATCGGCCATCGCCGGTTAGTGAGGTGTGCATCATTGGCTGAGTCAGTGAAACTGGAAAGCTTTTTTAGGACTATAATTTCCTCGTCATATTGTACAATATGTGTGTCTCCACACACCTAGGCCTAAACTATTGATGGATTCAAGACAAGGTTGTTTTTATTGATCTCAGATTCTCAGTTTGTCGGTGTCAAAGTAGCCTGTCATTTCGATAATTTGTGAGGTATTAAAAAAAGATTCTGCTGAAGTCTCCAGTCATCAAAAATTATGTAGAATTACGTGAAATTCGTTTCTAAAAGGCAAACATTTTCCCCGATCCTAGGCTACAATTCCCCCCCCCCCTGTATGCAACTTCTGCAAGCACCTCTACTCTACTGCTCTATGCCAGTACGCAAAAGCAATGATAATGCATGCAATGCTCTTGGGCTCACTTTTACAAATTAAACACTGATGTGCGTGCGTTAATGCGTATATACATGGATTAAGATAACACTGCAGTATCCTCAGAGTCAGTACTCTCTCTACTCTGCTGACATCTGCTTTTAGCTTGGCTGCATCATCAAGGTCAACATAAAACCCAGTGTGTTCGTGTGTGTGTGTTTGTTTGTGACTACGCTTTTTTTCTTGTTTTCACAGGTCCAACGCCAGCCAGCATGACCCAGGCAACAGAGAGTCTCAACCCTACCTAGGAGCCCCACCTCCACTCATCTCCCCCAAACCTCACCCTCACCTCCTCCACCACCCCCCTGACCCTCCCACCACCCTCTGGAACCCTGCCTCTCTCACAGAGACCCCCCCAGACCCCCGTCGCAGGTTTGACTCCCCTGTTCCCCCCTCCCGCCCCCCTCCTGGCCTGACCAGAGCTGAGTGGCCCCCCAGCTCGGAGCGGGGGGAGGAGGGATGCAGGAGGATGGGGGAGGGCCCAGAGAGGTTCTCCTCCGTCAGGGGACCCATTCTGCAGGTTTCTGGCCTCTGGAGCATGGCTGAGCTCGAAAGATCCACTCACAGTCTCCACCACCAACATAACCATAACCACCTCCACCAGAGGGGCTCACTGCTCCTGTCCTCCCCCAGCCCCAGCTCTGACCTGGGGGTCCAGCGCCCGTCCAGCTCCCCTCTTCCTCCAGGGACCTCCAGAAGTCTGAGCGGCCAGGCCAGGAGCCTCAAAACCCAGTGGTGTACGATGAGATCCTTCTGCCAGCAGCACAGGCTGGTCAGCAAGCTGGACCTGGAGGAGAACAGGGGGAGAGAGGCCAGGGAGGAGGTAAGAAAAAAGGGGACGTAAGAGGGAGGAAGGGAGTGAGGAGAGTGGGCATTCAAGAGAGGATGAGACGAAATCTGGTTTCTCTCTTTCCCCCCCCCAGTTATTACAGATCTAATGGGGGCATTTTTCAAATTAAAACATTTGGGGGGCTTTTAAGGTATTCAATTGTAAAATAGTTTAAGTGTTCCCCCCTTTTTCTAAAAGTTTTTGGGGGTTTTTGGTAAAAAAAACCCGGGTTTTTTTGGTTTTTGGGGCAGCCCTTTTTTTTTTTTTAGGCCAAAAGGGGCCCCCCAAAAAACCCCCAAAAACCCCTACCTCCCCCCACCTCCCCCAAAACCCCCAAAACCCCCTCCCCACCCCCCGACCCTCCCCAACCCCTTTTAAAAACCCCCCCCCGGGCCCCCCCAACCCCCTGAGGTTTTTTCCCCCGTTCCCCCCGGGGGTGGGGTGAAAAAGGGAGGCCCCCCGTGGGGGGCGGGGGGGTGGGGGGGGATGGGGGAGGGGGCCCCAAAGGGGCCCCAAAAACCCTTCGGGTTTTGGCTCGGGCGGCCCCGGGGTGGTCCCCCCCCAGCTCCCCCCCCCAAAACCCCTCCAAAGGGGGGGGGCCCGCCCCCCCAAACCCCCCCGCGGGTCCCCGCCCCCGGGGGCCCGCCCCCCTTTTTTTTAGGGACCCCCGAGAGAGGGCCCGGAGGAGTAAAAAAAAGTGGGAGAAGGGGTTTGGGGGCAAAAGGTGGCGAAACTTAGGAAAGGGGGGGGAAAAAAAGCGTTAGAGATTTTAAAGGGGAAGGGAAATGGGGAAGGGGAAAAAAAAGGGGAAGGGAGAGGGGGAAAAGGGAAGGGCAAATAAAAAAGAGAAAAAAAAGGGGAAAAAAAAAAAAAAGGAAAAAAAAAAAAGAAAAAGGGGGTTTTTTTTTTTTTCCCCCCTTTTTCGACAAATGGTGAATTTTAATTTAAAGGGGGGGGCCCCCCAAAAATTTAACAAGCAAAGGCCCCCCCCCCAAAAAGGACAAATTAGAGGAATTCCCCCCAAAAAAAAATTGTTTTGGGGAAAAAAAGGGAGAAATTTTTAAAATTTTCTTTTAAATTTTTTCCCCGGGGGGACTTCCCCCCGGAAGTGCTTTCAAGAAGGGGGAAGAAGGGGGGAGGAGAGGGGGCCCCCAAAAAGGGCCCCCTCCCCCCAAACAAAAAAACCCCTGGGCCCATGGGCCCCCCCCCCCCCCCAGAAAAACTCTCACCCCAAGTGCCTTCCCCCCAAAGGGGGGAAAAATTCCCACTCCCCGTCCCCTACCCAAACAAGAAAGCTATTTTCCCCAACCCCCCCCAAAAAAAATTTAAATTTTTTTTTAAAAACCCCCCCCCCCAACAAAAGGTTTTTTTTAATGTATCCAAGGGGGGATTAAAAAAATTTTTCCTGGGGGGGAAGGGAAAAAAAGGTGGTTTAATGTAGTTTAAATTTAAAACTTTCTCCTAAACCCCCCTTTTTTTAAAAAAAAAATTTTTTTTGGGTCCCCCCAAAAAAAAAGGGGGGGGGCGTGGGGGGGGGGAAAAAAAAAAAAGAAAAAAAAGAAAAAATAAGAGAAAAGAAGGAAAATTTTTTCCCCCCCCCTTTTTAAAAAAGAGTTTTCCACTCCCCCTTACCCCCTTTTTCCCCTATATATTTAAAAAAACAAAAAAAATAAAAAAAAAGGGCTTCTATAATATTGTGATGTTCATTCTCTTTAATCGTCTTCTGAGAAGGGGTGGTTTTCTGCATGGTGGGGCCGGGACTACGCTGGCCCATCGTGACCGGGCTGCTTCATCAGAAGAGGAGGAAGAGGAGGAGGATGCTGAGAGAGCGCAAGCGTCTCCCTCGCCTGTACAAGGCAAGAGGAAGACCCCTCGTCCTACTGTGGCACCCCTCCCCCCCTCAGCACCACTCTCACCCCTGAGGAGCTGAAATGTTCCCCCAACGGAGGACAAGAAACACTTCCTCAACATGCTTACCCTGTCCATGTGACCATCCAGCAGAGGAGAGGTAACGTACAGTACACTAACCCCAACACAGTACACCTAGCTCTTATTCTCTAACCCCTACCCACTACAACCTAGTGTACTTAATGCCCTATCCAAGGGGTATTAAAATCTTACCTAGGAGTTCGGAGTACTGCTGTGTTTCTGTTCTACCTGATAGTTAATTGCACCCACCTGGTGTCTCAGGTCTAAATCAGTCCCTGATTAGAGGGGAAGAATAAAACAAGCAGTGGAACTGGCTTTGAGGTCCAAATGTGAATTTGGGGGAGAGTCTCTCTCGAGACTCGAGAGAGTTTTGCCGCTAGAGAGGAGCGAGAGCGAGAGAGAGAGGAGAGAGAGAGGAGTCGAGAGAGGCGTAGAGCTAAGTCGTGCTCGCTCTCTCTCTCTCTCTCTCTCTATTCTCAATCTCTCTCTCATCTCTCTCTCGTCTTCTATCTCTCTATCTCTCTCTCTCTCCTCTCCTCTATCTATTATTATATATCTATCTATATATATTATCTATCTATGCTATATATAGATAAGGAGAAGATGGAGGGGTTGCTGAAGGCTATAAAGCTAAAGAGTGTGACGTTGGACACCATCAGATACAACCCATTACCCCTCTGTAGCAGCACCCCTGTTCTCTCAACTGGTAAGACGCGCACACACACACACACACACACACAAATATATACACAGAAAGGGTAACACCCATGAGATCCTTATGTTTATGTTTTCAGGCGACGACTCACCTGTCCTCCCAGCCTGCAAGTCAAACGGACTCCACTACCCAGATTCCCAAGCCCCTCGTCCCCCTACCCCCACCATCCCGACAACCTTCACACAAACCCACTAAACCCCCAACCCCCTCCACCCCGCCACCCCTATCCCCTGGCTCTCCACCCCGACAGGGCAGGATTGGGTGAACGTCACCCATCTAAGAGGCTCCAGGATCTCCAGAACGGAGCAGGCCACCTTGGCCATCCTCCCCAACCGAAGGTGCCCCTGGATGGGCAGAATGGGCAGAACAAGCCCTGGGAAAGATTCATCCGGGAGGACTTCGCCCAACACTTCCACCAGGCTGTGTTGCAGTCTACCCACAAGACACTGGGTGGCTCCCCTTGTGTTCCAGAATCCAGTATAAAGTCTGAGCCCTCAGCGCCCTACAACATCCCCCCTCTGAAGAGACCAGACCCCCTTCACACACCCCCACACCCCACCAACGGGCATCTTCCGTACCCTTCTCCACCCCACCATGACCCTGATGGTGTACGGGATGAGCTGTCAGAGGAAGAGGAGGACGAAGAGGAGGAGGACGAAACCCCTAAGAAGTGGAGGGGCATAGAGTCAGTCTTTGAGGCGTATCAGGAGTATGTGGATGGTGAGTTAACCTTTCATCTACAAATAGTTTTTAGTTTTTGTCAAATATTCTTTATCTTCCCCCCACACACAATTTCTCATCCTCTATGCCCCTCTCCCTCTATGACCCCATGTCTCCCCTTTACCCTCCTGTTGCTCTCTCTATATCTCTCTTCCCCCCTCCCCCCCTCTCTCTCAGAGCGGGGTATGGAGAGACAGGTTCTCCACAGTCAGTGCCGGAGGCTGGAGACTCAGAACTACACTCTCAGTCTGACAGCTGAACAACTCTCACACAGCATGGCGGTAAGAACCTCAGGGCCCATATCCACAAAGTGTCCACAAAGCTCACATATCCACAAAGTGTCCACAAAGCTCACATATCCACAAAGTGTCTCAGAGTAGGAGTGCTGATCTAATCAAATCAAATTGTATTTGTCACATGCTTCGTAAACAACAGGTGTAGACTAACAGTGAAATGTTTACTTACGGACCCTTCCCAACAATGCAGAAATAAAAAATATAATAAATACACAATGAGTAACGATAACTTGGCTATATACACAGGGTACCACTACTGAGTCGATGTGCAGGGGTACGAGGTAATTGAGGTATATATGAACATATAGGTAGGGATAAAGTGACTAGGCAACAGGATAAGAAAAGGGTCAATGCAGATAGTTAAATAGTTAGCCAATAGCTACCCAGACTAACTATTTAGCAGTCTTACAGTGAGGGGAAAAAAGTATTTGATCCCCTGCTGATTTTGTACGTTTGCCCACTGACAAAGACATGATCAGTCTATAATTTTAATGGTAGGTTTATTTTAACAGTGAGAGACAGACTAACGACAAAAAAATCCAGAAAAACGCATGTCAAAAATTTTATAAATTGATTTGCATTTTAATTAGGGAAATAAGTATTTGACCCCTCTGCAAAACATGACTTAGTACTTGGTGGCAAAACCCTTGTTGGCAATCACAGAGGTCAGACGTTTCTTGTAGTTGGCCACCAGGTTTGCACACATCTCAGGAGGGATTTTGTTCCACTCCTCTTTGCAGATCTTCTCCAAATCATTAAGGTTTCGAGGCTGACGTTTGGCAACTCGAACCTTCAGCTCCCTCCACAGATTTTCTATGGGATTAAGGTCTGGAGACTGGCTAGGCCACTCCAGGACCTTAATGTGCTTCTTCTTGAGCCACTCCTTTGTTGCCTTGGCCGTGTGTTTTTGGTCATTGTCGTGCTGGAATACCCATCCACGACCCATTTTCAATGCCCTGGCTGAGGGAAGGAGGTTCTCACCCAAGATTTGACGGTACATGGCCCCGTCCATCGTCCCTTTGATGCGGTGAAGTTGTCCTATCCCCTTAGCAGAAAAACACCCCCAAAGCATAATGTTTCCACCTCCATGTTTGACGGTGGGGATGGTGTTCTTGGGGTCATAGGCAGCATTCCTCCTCCTCCAAACACGGCGAGTTGAGTTGATGCCAAAGAGCTCGATTTTGGTCTCATCTGACCACAACACTTTCACCCAGTTCTCCACTGAATCATTCAGATGTTCATTGGCAAACTTCAGACGGGCCTGTATATGTGCTTTCTTGAGCAGGGGGACCTTGCGGGCGCTGCAGGATTTCAGTCCTTCACGGCGTAGTGTGTTACCAATTGTTTTCTTGGTGACTATGGTCCCAGCTGCCTTGAGATCATTGACAAGATCCTCCCGTGTAGTTCTGGGCTGATTCCTCACCGTTCTCATGATCATTGCAACTCCACGAGGTGAGATCTTGCATGGAGCCCCAGGCCAAGGGAAATTTACATTTATTTTGTGTTTCTTCCATTTGCGAATAATCGCACCAACTGTTGTCACCTTCTCACCAAGCTGCTTGGCGATGGTCTTGTAGCCCATTTCAGCCTTGTGTAGGTCTACAATCTTGTCCCTGACATCCTTGGAGAGCTCTTTGGTCTTGGCCATGGTGGAGAGTTTGGAATCTGACTGATTGATTGCTTCTGTGGACAGGTGTCCTTTATACAGGTAACAAGCTGAGATTAGTGTGCTCCTAATCTCAGCTCGTTACCTGTATAAAAGACACCTGGGAGCCAGAAATATTTCTGATTGAGAGGGGGTCAAATACTTATTTCCCTCATTAAAATGCAAATCAATTTATAACATTTCTGACATGTGTTTTTCTGGATTTTTTTGTTGTTATTCTGTCTCTCACTGTTCAAATAAACCTACCATTAAAATTAGAGACTGATAATTTCTTTGTCAGTGGGCAAACGTACAAAATCAGCAGGGGATCAAATACTTTTTTCCCTCACTGTATGGCTTGGGGGAAGATGCTGTTCAGGGTCCTGTTGGTTCCAGATTTGGTGCATCGGTACTGCTTCCCATGCGATAGCAGAGAGAACTGTCTATGACTTGGGTAGCTGGAGTCTTTTGACAATTTTTAGGGCCTTCCTCTGACACTGCCTGGTATAGAGGTCCTGGATGGCTGGGAGCTGGGCCCCAGTGATGTACTGGGCCGTACGCACTACCTTCTGTAGTGCCTTGTGGTCGGATTCCAAGCAGTTATCAACTTTTTGAGGATCTAGGATCTGTCCATACAATTTTATTTATTATGATCTAAAAGTAAAAAACTAAAGCTTGATCAGCAGTCTGTCTGTCTGTTTGTGACTGTTTGTTTACACTGATGTGCTTTGTTCACCCCCACTCACTCTTTTAGTAACTCTCTCGCTCTTTATCTCGCTCTTGCTCCATTCCCTCTCTTTCTCTCTCTCTCTAGGAGCTGGTGAGTCAGAGACAGAGGGTGAGAGATGAGAGAGAGAGGCTGCAGGCTCAGCTAGAGCACTTCAGGAAGTGTCTGACCCTTCCCAACGTGCACTGGGGCAAGGGGCAGGTCAAAGGTCGCCTCCCCCGGTGACTCCCTGCCCTGCTCCTGACAGGTTGACAGAGACAGACAGTCAGACTGACTGACCTCTAGAGAGAGAGAGGGCACTGGATTGGTTACCAGTCAGAGGCAGAGATGGAAGAGAGCTCTGGACGGGGAAGGAAGAGAGGATGGTAGAAAGGGAGTGCCACGCTCCTAGACTCTGTAGTGTGGTCAGACTCACCACTGGTGAAAGACTAGAAGTCTAAAAGCTAGAGGTCTTAGCTACATAAGAGTATGGCATAATATTGGGACCCACTTTAACCAATTCTAGAATTTGGGACAAATACAATGACCACTATGTCCTCCTTTTCTCTCTCCATGATTTGGAAGGGTTTGGAATCAACCAATAGCCAGCCCAAAAGGGAATGCACAACCAATAGCAAGCCAACCAACCACAGAACTGGAAGGACTTGAATCAGCCAAGATGCACTTAAAGACCTAGAAGAGCTACTAGTGATCATACTAGTGACAGTACTGTTAGAACTATCTAGAACAGTAAACACTGTGTTATAGAGATATTACTATTCTGGAACTTTTTTCACTTGGGTTCATGGACTTGCAAAAACATTAGTTGTAGAATATTTAAGACAGTGTTTCTATAAGGAAATAACTGGAGGTTGTGAAAATGTTTAAAAATATATATATACAGTTGAAGTCGAAAGTTTACATACACTTAGGTTGGAGTCATTAAATCTTGTTTTTCAACCACTCCACAAATTTCTTGTTAACAAACTATCATTTTGGCAAGTCGGTTAGGACATCTACTTTGTGCATGACACAAGTAATTTTTCCAACAATTGTTTACAGACAGATTATTTCACTTATAATTCACTGTATCACAATTCCAATGGGTCAGAAGTTTACATACACTAAGTTGACTGTGCCTTTAAACAGCTTGGAAAATTCCAGAAAAAGATGTCATGGCTTTAGAAGCTTCTGATAGGCTAATTGACATCATTTGAGTCAATTGCAGGTGTACCTGTGGATGTATTTCAAGGCCTACCTTCAAACTCAATGCCTCTTTGCTTGACATCATGGGAAAATCTAAAGAAATCAGCCAAGACCTCAGAAAAACAATTGTAGACCTCCACAAGACTGGTTCATCCTTGGGAGCAATTTCCAAACGCCTGAAGGTACCACGTTCATCTGTACAAACAATAGTACGCAAGTATAAACACCATGGGAACACGCAGCCGTCATACTGCTCAGGAAGGAGACGCGTTCTGTCTCCTAGAGATGAAACTACTTTGGTGCGAAAAGTGCAAATCAATCCCAGAACAACAGCAAAGGACCATGTGAAGATGCTGGAGGAAACAGGTACAAAAGTATCTATATCCACAGTAAAACGAGTCCTATATCGACATAACCTGAAAGGCCACTCAGCAAGGAAGAAGCCACTGCTCTAAAACCGCCATAAAAAAGCCAGACTATGGTTTGCAACTGGACATGGGGACAAAGATCTTACTTTTTTGAGAAATGTCCTCTGGTCTGATTAAACAAAAATAGAACTGTTTGGCCATAATGACCATCGTTATGTTTGGAGGAAAAAGGGGGTAGCTTGCAAGCCGAAGAACACCATCCCAACCGTGAAGCACGTGGGTAGCAGCATCATGCTGTGGGGGTGCTTTGCTGCAGGAGGGACTGGTGCACTTCACAAAAAATATGGAATTGTGAAAAACAGAGTTTAAATGTATTTGGCTAAGGTGTATGTAGATGTCAGACTTCAACTATATATATATATATATATATATATATATATATATATGTATGTATATAGTACCAGTCAAAAGTTTGGACACACCTACATTCCAGGGTTTTTCTTTATTTTTACTATTTTCTACATTGTAGAATAATAGTGAAGACATCAAAACTATCAAATAACACAGATGGAATCATATAGTAACCAAAAAAGTGTTAAACAAATCAAAATATATTTTATATTTCAGATTCTTCAAAGTAGCCACCCTTTGCCTTGATGACAGCTTTGCACACTCTTGGCCTTCTCTCAACCAGCTTCATGAGGTAGTCACCTGGAATGCATTTCAATTAACAGGTGTGCCTTGTTAAAAGTTAATTTGTGTAATTTCTTTCCTTAATGTGTTTGCGCCAATCAGTTGTGTTGTGACAAGGTAGGGGGGGGGGGGGGGGTATACAGAAAATATCCCTATTTGGTAAAAGACCATATTATGACAAGAACAGCTCAAATAAGCAAAGCGAAATGACAGTCCATCATTACTTTAATACATGAAGGTCAGTCAATACGGAACATTTCAAGAACTTTTAAAGTTTCTTCAAGTGCAGTCGCAAAAACTACCAAGCGCTATGGTGAAACCTGCTCTCATGAGGACCGCCACAGGAAAGGAAGACCCAGAATTACCTCTGCTTCAGAGGATAAGTTCATTAGAGTTACCAGCCTCAGAAATTGCAGCCCAAATAAATGCTTCACAGAGTTCAAGTCACAGACACATCTCAACATCAACTGTTCAGAGGAGACTGGGTGAATCAGGCCTTCATGGTCGAATTGCTGCAAATAAACCACTACTAAAGGACACCAATAAGAAGAAGAGACTTGCTTGGGCCAAGAAACACGAGCAATGGACATTAGACCAGTGGAAATCTGTCCTTTGGGCAGATGAGTCGAAATGTGAGATTTTTGGTTCCAACCGCCGTGTCTTTGTGAGACACAGTGTAGGTGAACGGATGATCTCCGCATGTGTGGTTCCCACCGAGAACAATGGAGTAGTAGTGATGGTGCTTTGCTGGTGACACTGTCAGTGATTTATTTAGAATTCAAGGCACACTTAAGCAGCATGGCTACCACAGCATTCTGCAGCGATACACCATCCCATCTGGTTTGGGCTTAGTGGGACTATCATTTGTTTTTCAACAGGACAATGACCCAACACACCACCAGGCTGTGTAAGGGCTATTTTACCAAGAAGGAGAATGATGGAGTGCTGCATCAGATGACCTGCCCTCCACAATCCCCCGACCTCAACCCAATTGAGATGGTTTGGGATGAGTCGGACGGCAGAGTGAAGGACAAGCAGCCAACAAGTGCTCAGCATATGTGGGAACCCCTTCAAGACTGTTGGAAAATCATTCCAGGTGAAGCTGGTTGAGAGAATGCCAAGAGTGTGCAAAGCTGTCATCAAGGCAAAGGGTTGCTATTTGAAGAATCTCGAATATAAAATATATTTTGATTTGTTTAACACTTCTTTGGTTACTACATGATTCCATATGTGTTATTTCATAGTTTTGATGTCTTCACTATTATTCTACAATGTAAAACATTTTTAAAATAAAGAAAAACCATTGAATGAGTAGGTGTGTCCAAACTTTTGACTGGTACTGTGTGTGTGTGTGTGTGTATATATATACACAGTTGAAGTCGGACGTTTACATACACCTTAGCCAAATACATTTAAACTCAGTTTTTCCACAATTCCTTACATTTAATCCTGGTAAAAAGTCCCTGTCTTAGGTCAGTTAGGATCACCACTTTATTTTAAGAATGTGAAATGTCAGAATAATAGTAGAAAGAATGATTTATTTTAGCTTTTATTTCTTTCATCACATTCCCAGTGGGTCAGAAGTTTACATACACTCAATTAGTATTTGGTAGCATTGCCTTTAAATTGTTTAACTTGGGTCAAACGTTTCGGGTAGCCTTCCACAAGCTTCCCACAATAAGTTGGGTGAATTTTGGCCCATTCCTCCTGACAGAGCTGGTGTAACTGAGTCAGGTTTGTGGGCCTCCTTGCTCGCACACGCTTTTTCAGTTCTGCCCACAAATGTTCTATAGGATCAGAGCATATGAGCGGAGTGGAGCGGTGAGAATCTCAGCTCCTCGCTCACGGAGTTGTTCACCCCTCCGCTCCCCCCGCTCAAAGCCACATCAGGCCAGTCCGCTCATTATCGCTCAGCGCTCAACGCAGTTTGCATCGCGCTCCACTCAAATCGCCCCCGCTCACTCCAAAAAAGGAACAAAATCTGCATGTATTTCACTTTTAGCTTAAACCACAGCCTTACTTTATCTCCCCGAATTTGTTGCATACAGACTCATCTCGGATTATCCATTCTGTCTTGAAACGGGGATCTAACACTGACGCTAAAATGAGATGTTAATCAGTATAGTATATTCCATAGCGAATTGACACGTTGTTTGCCAATGTTTCTGCAAAAGCAGCGATGCCCATTGGAAGTGCAGCGTGAGTGTAATCGGTGAGCAGGGATTTGATTTCTGTGACAGCAGGGAGGATCATCCCCAGGTTCCCCAGCTCCTTCTGCATTTTGTCTGTGAGGTCTGCTAGTGGTGTCAGCACACGGACAAGGTGCGTCAGCAGCGGTACTTCATTCAGGGTGATGTTAACAACATTAGACTTGAGTTTGTTTTGCCATAACGGGTCTTTTTGGAACAACCGGATGAACGACTGAATCATCCACAGCTGGCTGCTCCATCGAATGGCGCAGGCATTTGTGGGGCGGACACCTAATTGGTCGGTTTCCTCTGTGCTCTTGCGTACACTTTTCACCAGGTGCCCGACTTTCACTAACAGCCTATTAATGTTGTCGTGCTCGTTAACGGCGTTTCTGATCGCCAGCTGAAGCATGTGAATGGGGCATCTCAGATGTAAATTTGACAAAGTAAAGTACTGATTTATCATAGTTTCTTGGGGGGGGGGGGGGGTGTAGCCCGGTTGAGCTGCGCTGGCGAAGTGTTGCATCCCTTCGCGTTCTCCTTTACTCAGCGGTTCATAGTCCATGAAAATCATTTTAAAAAATGCCTTGTTATGGTTGGGCCTTTGCCTGCAGTGAATAAACTTTTGAATTCCTCAACGCTTTTCTCTTGTTGCTGCTGCTGCTCCTCGCTCTATAAAATACAAATTCTTGGACGACACAAATTAAATTAAACAGATGGATTCTGGGTCAGGCTTGAGCATGCTTCAGACTCTTGGTGTGAGCGAGCGAAATTGGAGCGGGACATAGGG